CTACTTCTACTACAACAACAACTACAACTATTATTATTATTATTATTATTATTATTATTATTATTATTATTATTATTATTAAAACATTTTTTTATTTTATTTTAAATACCATACATGCTGCATGTAATGTACTTCAAATATATAAAGCATACTACAGGGGCATTGCTCCTGGGTAAAGTCTTACACATTGGCATTCTCAGTTTTTCCTCATGGTAACAGCTGATATTCACTAAAAAGAAGATGTTTGGAATCAGCACTAATATTTATTGCTCTTCTCATGACCGCCTGTTCATCTAGATACTGTATGGGCTTGTGTTTTATCCCTATGATTTGTTTGGCTGTTTTTGAATATGAACCAATTTATTATTCAATTAAACAGGCAGATTAAGATAGATAGATTGCGAATAAGACTTTCAAATATAGCTCGATAAAAAACAAGCAAGATATTGCTACCCACCCCATACAATCTCAGCCTTCTTAAAAAATAAAGCCTCTGTTGTAGTTGTGTGCATAAGCTGTCAATGTGTGTTCTCCAACAAAAAAACAGTCCATATAGAACCCCAGGTATGTATAAGATGTAACTTGCTGTTGCACCGTGTCTGTGTTTGTAAATATCTAATGATAATTAGATATAATATTAGTAATAACGATAATAATATTGAAAATATAATTTTATTTTAAATATTATCCATGCTGTATGTAATATACTTAATCTAAATATACTGTCTTATTTATTTATTTATTTATTTATTTATTTATTTATTTATTTATTTATTTTAACATTATCTTTGTAAATATCTGATACTATTAAAATAACAATAAAATATTAACAATAAAAATATTATTATTATTATTATTAATAATAATACAAAAATAATAATAATGATGATGATGATGATGATGATAATAATAACAATAAAAATTATTGTTGTTGTTGTTGTTGTTGTTGTTGTTGTTGTTGTTGTTGTTGTTGTTGTTGTTGAAAAATATTTTATTTTAAACATTATCCATCTGATTATACTTTATCTTATTTATTTATTTATTCATTTATTTATTTATTATATTTTTTGTAAATATCGGATGACAATAATGAAATTAATAATAATAATAATAATAATAATAATAATAATAATAATAATGTCATGCTTATTTTTTTTTATTAATTTACTTGATATAAGTTTACAGATTCCATTTAGCAACACATAATATTTAGCCTAAAATAATATTGCAGGTTTGCACCCTAATTATGCATCATGGCCCCTTCATAGTGTGTGCGTAGTGGACAATTAGTGTTTTTAGCAGATTTTCATTCTTTCAATCTGTGAAATTGTGATTGTGAAGAACAGCTGGAAAAAAATGTCATGGAACTTGTATTTAGAATTTTGGTCCCCTGTGGCTGGTGCGCCCTTGGGTTTAAGTCTTCCATGAAAAATCATCAGCGATGTCACATGTTTTCCTGAACGCTGGATGAACTTCCAAAGTGTATTGTTAATCTCTTCGGATTTCGAAAAACAAGGGTTGAAAATGTGGCCATCTCTAGACAGTACACCGGTACACTGCTTTTCCCTTATGTTGTGTCACTATGAATCCCTGGTGTTTTGAATGCTGCCTGCTTAGTTTTCACTCTCATGTATTGCTCAAAATTGCATTGCAGTGATTCATTTTGTTTGGTTTCAAGTAAACTTCCTCTGTGCTCTGATGAATTATATTCATAATAAAGCGGCTTTATCAGAGCAG